GCTTAACCATCTGAGCCACCCAGGCGCCCCTCCTGAATTGATAATTTAATTTTATTCTTTCTTGTCTTGAATTTGTTTGCTAGTATTAATAACTAGTCTTAGTTATTAGTTTTCAAATACTTTGTAGTCATTTTATGTGTTTAGTTACTAGTTATTAATGAATTCACTAAATCAAAAGTGACATCAATTGTAAAAACCACAATTGTTTTATATACCACCAAGAAATTTAAAAAATGGGGCACGGTGCATTTCTTACCACTTACAATTTTTGTTTTATATTTATCAAAATAGCTTCTTTAGACTTAATCAGGCATAGATTTTTATCTTTTCTAAAGCTCCTGGTTTCCGCTGAATTACTTGACGCGGGAAAGGCAGTGTTTTCTGTGTACATCAACTGTAACACAGTTTTGTTTACTTCGTGGTTGTGTTCCTTTCTCATTTGGTTGTTGCTTTACAAAAAAAAAGGAATTGTGGTCAGATCTTCAATAATGAGTATTTGCTTCACTAATGACAGTTGTATATGCTGCTTCTCTTTGTGCTTTCGCACACTCCGCTTTTCCTCTTCGTGTAAAACCAATAACACACATCCCTCGACTCAAAACAGCAACAGTACCAAGAACATACGCACATCTGTAGGCATCGCCAATTATCATGACCATCACCAGGCCAACAGCAGTTGTAAGATGGACCTCAATTACAGAGATGCTACAATGTGTAACTTGGAACTAATGAAACACAGTATTCAGATTGAAGGGTGGCCACTGAAGAAGGCTGGTTATATGGTCAATTTCTTGTTCTTCCTGGCTGGTTCTTCCTCTCTCTGCTCACTTAATTGGAACAGTTTTATAACACTGAAGTCCCACGGTCTCTCTTTACCTGTCTCCCTGGCCTGGGTCAATGACTGGAAGGACTTCTACTGTGTCATGATTTCTGAGGCTACATCTCCACCCCATTCTTTATCCCTTATACCGTTTTCTCCTATCTCCTGGGACATCTTCATACCTCAAATTGTGAGCCAAACTGAATTATTTAACTTTTCTTCTGAATCCTTATTCTGCTGTGTGCTCTGTTCCAACTAATGATATCATCTAACAGTCAACCCTAGAAACCCTAGAGGCGTCTTCGACTGCTCTCTTCCCTTCATCCTCACCACATCCAAGGAGCTGTCAAATCTTGAGAATTCTGTCCCTACAGGGCCTTGCTTTTCCATTCCCACTCATATCGCCTTAGTCGTTTACCTTGTATTGACTGTTGAAGTAGCCCTCTGATTGGAAATAATGCCTCCACTTACCTTTTGTCTGTCCCTTTACCTTGCTACCAGCCTAGTTACTCCTTTCAAAACATGTCAAGTTGTGTTAATCCTTTCATCAAAAATCATTTCACATTGCCTCTAAGATGAAGTTGAAAATCCTTAACAGGGTATTCAAAGTCATATACGATGTGGTCCTAAACTTTACAGCTTACTTTCATATTCCATCCTCCATACGCCACACCCCAAGCACCAGTCATACCTGGTTATTTGCTGTTCTTTTTGTCTTGTTTGTGCCATTTCCTTTTAATCAAGCAAAACTACAAATAATTGATTTTCCTTTTGTGTACCCATAAAAGGTCATTATTACCCTATTATCTCTGTACTGTATTTATGTATACTTGTATTCATGTTTTTCCTATGAAGAGTAAGTTCTTTGAGAGTGCAATTACATTTCATTCATTATATTTTTATACTACAGCACCTATCCCGATGTCTTTTTTTTTCCCCCCTGTCCCTTCTACCACCTGCACCACCCCCTTGGCCTGCCATGGTCTCACAGTATGGGATGAACTGTACGTATATATTGAATTGATTTGAATTAAACTAAAAAATGAAGTCTTTATTCATTTATTCATTGCTCTGCATAGTTGTAGGCATGCAGTATGCTTTAGGCATTCCATAGAATGTTAAGAGATATATTTTTTTTCAGGTAGCTGTTAGGTTTTTCCTAAACAGTCTCAGTTTAAAAGTACCCATTTATTCATTCCGAAGGATAATTTCTTGAGAGGAGATAGCTCCCGTAAAGTTCAGCACCAGCAGCAGAGGAAACCCAGGAAAAAAACCAAGCCTCCTGCACTTACCAAAAAACACAAGAAGAAGAGAAGGCGTGGGCCTCGTCGACCCCAAAAACCCATTCCCCCTGCAGTACCCCAAGGGAACCTCAGCATGCCCACCAGCGTCTCACTGCCAGTGGAGGTTGCTCAGATCCGGTCAGTGACGGTGCCAAAGCTTACGTTTCCTTTCTGTGTTCGATGGTTCTCAGAACATCTAGCTTGCGTTCTTCTCTAGCGTTGCGGCCGGCCTCCAGAAGCCATTTCGATAAATCAGCCTAGGCTTTGTAGATTTCAGTGTAATTTTTACCCAGTACTTGACTGAGTGAGATCTGAAATAAAGCTTTTGGTTATAACACAGAAAGCAGATGCCGAAATTGAGAATTTAATTGTCTACTCTCAGATTTTTCTGTTTTAACAGAAATTCCATATATGTGTCAACAGAAAGATTGCATCAGAATTCTAATGCATTACTAATTTTGGCAGGGGTTAGCATTTTCACCAGATGAATGAGGCTTCTGTTTCAGCTAAGCATCTCCATTTTATCTGTTTATGTCATTTTTAAAAATTATTATTTCGACTAGATTTGAAATTTACTAAAAAGTATGAAGACACAGTGCACAAAACTAATTCATGCTACTAATTTGAAGTTAGAAATACCATCTCGAAATGGTTGCCTTCTCTTAATACCTGGTTAAAAGCTGCAGGAAAGTGTGACTGGATGGCGAGGTCTTCCTTTTGCTTTCACATTTCCTTCTCTGAAAGTAGGAAAAGGAGACAGTTTGAGTTAGGATTTCCCATCTTCGTGTTTGATGAACTTGTCTTGGGGACACTAGTGTGAAGGGAAAAGGGGAGTGGTGGGGCCAACCATGTCCTCTTCCCTAGGAGCCCGTCCACGCCGGAGCTGAGTGCTGATGAGTTGCCGGATGACATTGCCAATGAGATCACTGACATTCCACATGACTTGGAATTGAACCAGGAGGACTTTTCAGACGTCCTGCCACGGCTACCTGATGACTTACAAGATTTTGATTTTTTTGAAGGTGTGGTCAACATTTTGATTCAAGACTTTTTTTTTTTAATGAGTTTTTAAAAAGGGAAATCGTGTTTTTGAGATGTGTTTGAAGTACCCCTCCTCATGGATAGAAAATGCAGCACCGCTAAAGCTATTTTCCCCGTTCCAGAAGGCAAGGGCTGTGTGGTTTTTCTCACCATACTGTAGGCTTAGTAGATTGATCATTCAGTTGTTAGGTTTTTAACTTTGTTGCTTTAAAAAGGAGTCATTTTACTTTGTTTTTCAACAAAAACATTTTATTTTTTTTTTTTAAGATTTTATTTATTTGTCAGAGAAAGAGCATGCACAACCAGGGGGAGCCCCAGGCAGAGGGAGAAGCAGGCCTCCTGCTGAGCAGGGAGCCTGATGCGGGACTCGATCCCAGGACCCTGGGATCATGACCTGAGCCGAAGGCAGACACTTAACGACTAGGCCAACCAGGTGTCCCAACAGAAACATTTTAAACTTGAGTTAATTGAAGCCTTTTAGAACTTGTCCTAATCTTAATACCTGTACGTCAGTTGAAGTGCATTTTTCCAAAACTAAGTTTGCTTAATCCCACCAGTTCTCTGGTGCTTTCAGGGGAAACCTTTTATATTCTTAGAATGTTTCTTTCCCCATTAAAAACTGGGTATTTTTGTGGTGATTAGTCAAGTTCCCCACTATATAGTTTTGGTTTTTTTTTTTTAAGATTTTATTTATTTGACAGCGCAAGCAGGCAGAGCAGCGGGCAGAAGGAGAAGCAGGCTCTCTGCAAAGCAGGGAGCCCGATGCAGGACTCGATCCCAGGACCCTGGGATCATGACCTGAACCACCTAGGCATCCCTAGATTTTTTATATTGGAAATGAAATCAGCAGCAGCCCATGGGCTTCCATCTTACGAAAAAGAGAACGAAAGGAGCAGGATTAGCAGGTCACACAAAAGCATTTTAAAAGATAACGTCTGAGTGGAGGGGAGTGCGGGGTGCTCACATGCAAGCATGAGTCTCTCTGTTCCAGTCTTCCGCAGCCGCCCTCCAGCTGGAGGAAGGAGTTCAAGAGCAGAAGAACCAAGGGGGGACTCCTACACAGCCTTTTGTCTCCAGTCTGAACCAATATGATATGTTTCCTGTTTTTATGATTTTAACATAAGTTTACGTAAAACCATATGTGTAATTAGACTGGTCACCGTGCTTTTTAAGTTGGTATTGCTTACAATCCTTAAGAATTTAATGCTTTGATGAGTTGGGTTTAGGGAGTACTGTGAATAAACTGAAGATGTGATGCAGGTTCCAAGACAGCTCGACCTTTCAGGCCTGTCCTATGGATTCATATTCACTCTTTCGTTCCAATCCAGTCCTTGGAAGATTCTCCATTCCACAGGGATTCTCTTTAATAGATTGGTTTGGTTTGGTTTTGAAGATTTACTTATTTATTAGCGAGCACTCACATGTGTGGGGGGAGGGGCAGAGGGAGAGAATCTCAGACTCCTCGCTGAGCGTGAAGCCCAACGTGGGGCTTGATCCCACGACCCTGAGATGATAACCTGAACTGAAATCAAGAGTCGGATGCTTAACCAACTGAGCCACGCAGGCCCCCATGGTTTTTTTTGTTGCTGTTGTTTGTTTTTTGTTTTTTTAAGGTTTTATTTATTTATTTGAGAGGGAGAGAGCGCATGCCCATGGGTGAGGGAGAGGGAGAAGCAGATTCATTGCCGAGCAGGGAGCCTGACGTGGGACTCGATCCCAGGAACCTGGGATCATGACCTGAGCTGAAGGCAGACGCTTAACTGACTGAGCCACCCAGGCGCCCATTTTTTAAAAGATTTATTTATTTATTTGAGAGAGAGCGTGTGTACGGGGGCAGGGAGGGGCAGAGGGAGAGAGAAACTTTTAAGAAGACTTGGGACACTCAGCATGGAGCCCGACTTGGGGCTCTATCTCACGAACCTGAGATCATGACCTGAGCTGAAATCAAGAGTCAGAGCTCAACCGACTGAGCCACCCAGGTGCCCCTTTAATAGAATATTGTTAAAAAGTAATTCAGATGTGTGGTTTTGTGGTATGGCACCAGTAAAAGCTCTGCTGATTCTTGATGGCTTTTGTTTTCCTCAGGAAAGAATGGAGACCTCCTTCCAACTACCGAAGAGGCCGAGGAACTTGAACGGGCCCTGCAGGCTGTAACTTCTCTTGAGTGCCTGAGTACCATTGGGGTACTTACCCAGTCAGATGGTGTGCCAGTCCAGGAGTTGTCAGATAGAGGAATAGGGGTGTTCTCCACAGGTACTGGAGCTTCAGGAATTCAGTCCTTGAGCCGAGAAGTTAACACGGACCTAGGGGAGCTATTGAATGGGCGCATAGTACATGATAATTTTTCTAGTCTAGAGCTGGATGAGAACCTGCTCCGTTCTGCTACCTTGTCTAACCCACCTACACCCCTGGCAGGGCAGATCCAGGGGCAGTTCTCTGCCCCAGCCAACGTTGGCCTTACTTCTGCCACTCTGATCAGCCAGAGTGCACTTGGGGAGAGAGCCTTCCCAGGACAGTTTCATGGACTACATGACGGCAGCCATGCCTCCCAGAGGCCACACCCTGCCCAGCTGCTGAGCAAGGCAGATGACCTCATCACCTCACGACAGCAATACAGCAGTGATCATTCACACTCCTCGCCCCATGGAAGCCATTACGATAGCGAGCACGTGCCGTCTCCCTACAGTGACCATATCACCTCTCCCCACACAGCATCTTATTCTGGTGATAATATGGCAGCTACCTTTTCAGCAGAGATGCCCATCATGGCGCAGCACTTGCTCCCAACCCAACTCGAGGTGCCACTTGGAGGAGTCGTAAACCCCAGAACTCACTGGGGCAATCTCCCTGTCAACCTTGGAGATCCCTCTCCATTTAGCAACCTTCTCGGCGCAGATGGACATCTTCTTTCCACTTCCCTATCCACACCACCCACCACGTCGAACTCAGAGACCACACAGCCTGCCTTCGCCACCGTGACCCCCAGCAGCTCCAGTGTGCTTCCGGGGTTACCGCAGACCAGCTTCAGTGGCATGGGGCCTTCTGCTGAACTCATGGCCTCCACCTCTCCCAAGCAGCAACTCCCTCAGTTCAGCGCAGCCTTCGGCCACCAGCTGAGTTCTCACAGTGGCATTCCTAAGGACCTGCAGCCCAGCCACAGCTCGATAGCCCCTCCTACAGGCTTCACAGTAACAGGTGCCACAGCTACAAGTACCAATAATGCATCTTCTCCCTTTACCTCCCCTAACTGAGCGTGTCTGTGTGTTTGCAGGCAGGTGGGGAACCTGGTGTTTTCTATCTTTGTTTCCTGTTTAGCATCCCTTTCCCCCTTTTCCTAAAGAAGATTTTAAAAATAACAGATGGGGACTAAAGGGGAACTCCCTTTCCCGGTTCAGCAAGCAAGCCTGCGGCGGACCTTGCTTCAGTGTTCACGCGTGCTCCTTCGCACTGGTGCTCATTCCCTCCTGGCGGGTTCTCTCTACCCCGATGGTTTCCTTAGTGGCTCAGCACAGTGACTGGCTAGAGTTGATTTTTAGCAGCAAGTCCTAGAAGTGGAAGATACCTCAGATTACCAGTGCCCTTTACTATTTCCTAGTATTCAGATCAATGCTTTCCATTCTATGACCAGGTCTTTACGGAGGTGGTTCTAGATAGAATGGTCCTGTTCATTGAGTTCCTGTGTAAGCGGTAGCAGGTGGTGCGTAGCGGGCATATCGAGGCTCTGCCTTAGCACCAACTGCTAGACACCACATGAGGCCAGGATTCCATCCCTAATTGTGATCATGTTCAATTAAAAAGAGAAAAATTAGTCTTTTGACCGCCTTTGTGTATGTGTGCGCCCATGTGTGTGTTTTTGTGCAGGGCAGGAAGCAGCTGTCCCGTTGTTGTTGTTGTTGTTGTTTTATTATTTTTTTTTCCTAACGAGCATAAGGCTCTGACTTCTCCTTTCCCACATCTCAGAACCCTTATCAGGTTGGTCATTCTTTCCCCCTGAATTAGCGAAGTCTCCCGCGCACAGAGGGTGGTGGGCTGATGATGCGAATTGCACAAGCCCGTTCTGCTCGGTGATCCGAGAATGCAGAAAGCCGAATTCACGTCAGGGCCGTGCGGACGCCACAGAAAGCTCACGTGGAGTGACTGCAGGGTTGCTGAGATTCTGAGGTCTGGTGGTTACTTTGCCTTTTTAGATGCGCATTTTGTTTCTCCATCCCTCTCTCATGGAATACGTTCACGAGATGTAATTATAAAAAGACCGTATTTTGATGTGAAAAGCAGGATAGGTCAGCTAGATTTGGAAAGATGGGATCTCTGAACTCCTTGATCCGTCTTTTACTTTTGACTTTTTCATGTTTACAGTAGTGATTCTTCGGTAAGATTTGTAAAATGTTGAAGACACTTGTAGAATCAATGTATCAGTTGTGAAGTGATGTGTAATATCTGAAGGATACACACTTTAAAGTTTCTTTCAGAGCAGAATATGGAAATTAGACATAAATTGTACCCACCCTTTGGTACTTTTTAAATAATTGAAGTAGTGAGGTTTAAGTTTGGGGAAATTTTTTTTTTTTTAAGTACCAGGATTTTAGGGTTAAAAATCATATTGTTTAGTGAGTTGGTGACTATGAAATAAATCCATGAGGTTTCTTTTTACCTGCCTTCTCCCCTGCCCCCTCCCCAAGGGTGGAACTAGATTCTAAAGGCATCTGTGCTCTGCTTTTGCTGAGAAGTTTCACTGTCCCCTGAGATACCATTGGCTATTTGTACCTGAGTCTAGTCTAATTTACATATATATATTTTAAAAGATGAGTAGAAAGAACATATCTATTAATGATGTGATATAATAATTCATTTGTCAGGGAATATTTGATCTTAATTCCTTTTCAATAGGTAAAGATTTGGATGTATTTTCCTACTTCCTATATGTATTCTCTTTATGCCATGCTAATTCTAACCAGTCCCTTCTTTTGAAAGCTTTTCTTTCTCTGCTTTTTAAAGGAATGATGGTGATCAGCAGGCATTATGCAGATACCACGTGCCTGAGATTATGGAGGGGAAATGTCACATGACTGTATGAAATCATTATATGCCCTATTTTGTATTTATTGAAGTTTTCTTTTTGTGGGCCAAAAATACATTTGTAATATATTTAGTTTTTTTTTTTAATCATGATAATTGATTGGAAGATTTATTTTTTAATAGCTTTGCCTTTTTTGCAGATTGAGAAATTTCTAAATTATAAATTATGTCACAAAGCAAAATTATATTTGGTATCACCATAAATTTCTATTCTGAATGGTGAGGACAGATCATTTGAGCATCTCTCACCTGTGAACCTATGTTAGGAAGCTTTTTTATTTTAATGTACTGTAATGAAATGATGACGAGTAGTTACCTCTGCTCAAAAGTATCACTTCATTTGCTCTACTCTTTCACTTCCCATTCAGATTACCCCTAGATAACTGTCTGTTCCCAGCAATCGCTCTAGTCTCCATCGTGTACTCATCCAAGGTTGTAGCAGCGCACCGGCTATCTTATCTACCAGCCCTTCTCTGACAGCAAAGGGAAAGTCATGGGCAGTCGGTTTGAACTTCTCTGGCTCTTTGTCCCTCGTGGTAGCTGCTTAAAATTCTTCAGTTATCCAAACTGAGTTTGCAGTAAGTTGCACATTTTCTTGTTCGCAATTTTCTGTTTTATGTGCATTGAAAAGCCCTTTCCTGCTTTCTGGTAAGGAGGCATAAAATGATCAGGAATGTTGCCAGTTTCAGCTTCACACCAAAAACTTTGAGTCAGTTCATTTTTGTTTAGATGCCCACAGGGATAGCTGAAGAAGGGGCGCCCGTAGGAAGTACCAGTGTAGGTTTGAGGAATTAGAAAAAAAAAAAAAAAAAAAAAAACCACAAAAAAAAACCCCAACACATTTGTCCTTTCATTTCGTCTCCTTCAAAACCAACATCCAAGCTTGCCATTTGCTTTGCTCTTGCGGCTTCTTGTGAGTCCCTTTTCGGAAGAGAGAAGAACATCTGTGAATCCAGAGATAACCCGTTAGGTTTTTCTTTTAGCTAATGCAGAGCAATTCTAGTCTGTTAGTAGTAGGTTTGCTGTTCATGTGTAGAGAAAGGAATGAAGTGTCTTTTACTCCAGAAATATGAAAATTTGTGTCTTTCAAATAGCACTTACGCTATCATAAGGCAATACTGGAATCAAAAACAAATTTTATGTAAGGTCCTAATTAGGTGGAAACTAGCTTTTATTCTAGTGTGAAACTCATGAGAAATGGTGGCAGAGAAGTTCACTCTGTTTCTGCAGTTCTTTGGGACCATTTATAAAGGCCAGTTAGATTGTGTTAATGTGATTTATTTACAAAGTTGCTGCAGTTCATGGATACATTCTGTACTCGGAGAATCTGAATTCCATTCTAAGGAATGATACTCACTGGCTGTGATCTTATAGCATTGAAGAAAAGATGTGTTTTCTCTCCTTTACTCTCTCTACATAATTGTTAATATTATTTTAATTAAAGTACTTAAGACATTGTTTTTTCCTCTGTAAAAATGGCTTAGTAATTTGCACATCTGCGTAGGTTATGTAGCTAGTAAACAATTCACAATAGTAAATAGCAATTACACTTAACCCACCAAATGACAGACTATGCAATGGAAAAATTTTGTAATTATCGTCACATAGCTTATACGGTGAAGGATTTTTTTTTTTTTTTCCTCTCTAGTAACCTACCATGTGAGATAGAACTGCTTTATAAATGACTTCCTGAGCAATTTCATGCTGGCAGGCACTGCGGTGTGTCTGGTGACCCTCCACGAAAAGACTATAATTTAATGAGAAGCAAATAGTAGGTATGGAGATAAAGTTGGAAAATGTGGGGTTGTTTTTTTTTTTCCCCTTTTCCTTGAAATTGTAGTTACCGTCTCGAGTCGCGTCAGGCTAAAGAAAGCTAATACTTTATCTTTGCCAAATAATTATTTATAAGATTTATTTCTTCAACAAGCCCAATCTCTCAACTGCAAGCTAAGAATCCTCACTTTCTGTGACTAACACTAAAGCTTTTCCTTATCAGAGCTCATTCGCAGTCCTTGATCACAACCCAGAGGCAAAGACAGTGCTTTGATTTGGAAGGAAACAGTGTCTGTGATCCATGCCCAATCTGTAAGCTTTCTTCTTACGTGAAAGAATTTATATTTCTGTTGACCTGTACCATTCAGTTTTGTTTTGTTTTGTTTTGTTTTAAGTAGGCTCCACACCCAGTGTGGGGCTTGAACTCACAACCCTGAGATCGAGAGTCACATGCTCTACCGACTGAGCCAGTCACATGCCCCTGTACCATTCGGGGTTTTTACCAGTTGGCCCTCGACTTTTGAGTCTAGGTAGGTAACTCCCACGCCATCAGCTCATGTTACTTGCCTGCAGTCCTTCCTGCGCCCTGGCATCATGGAGGTGGTGGTGGCAGTCGTAGGCTGCATCAGCAATGTTTGTGTGAGGCAATCACCTTCTCTGCAAGTTAGTTCCATAGGTGGTTGTGGATTGGTATTGCAAAAAGATGAGGATATTCGTAACACTAAACTCATTACTTAATAGGTTTGGAATTCATTAAAAAAGTTTTTTTAGGTATCTAGTTTTCAGATTCTTCAGCCTCTTTCGTTTTAGCCTTTTAACATTCTACTAAATTCTGTTTTTAATCTGGTATATATAGATGAATCTAATACAGTGGTCTTCTGCATGGTCAGCAGAACTCTGCAGGTGAATGAGGCGATTTCAAGGATTCCTTAGAAGAAAATGTAGTCATACTGAATAGTCTTCATCTGTATCTCTTTCATCACCAACACCTACGTCGTTCCAAGGATTTTTTCCTGATGAGAAATACACTTCTTGGGGGTGAGGTAGGAGGTGGAAATATATATGTCATAGAACATAGATTTTTTTTTTTCCCTCTCACAATACATTGGAAATATGGAATCTTCACTGGCATTCTGTAGAAAGGTTAAACAATGACTTCCTAATATCTGGAGCCTTATGAGCTCTCCAATATCCTATTCTGGAGGGAACCAGAATCCATGTTTAGTAGATTAAAGTAACACTTTAAATGCTATCTTTCAGAAGATTTGAAATAAAATACCAGTGAAGGACATATTTGAGTATCTTATCTGTTAAGCATTTCCCCCCGACCAGTGAGTTGGGAAAGAACACCTAAAATACAAGTGAATAATTATGTCTCCTAATAGTCAGTGTCATTATGCAAACACCGTGGGGCCGACTTGGAGAGCCTCATTTCTAAATAGCAAAAATTCTCTTTCCCTTCAGCTCTAATTTCTGTTAGCTTCCCTCTCTCTGCACTGTGATACAGAGCCAATAAAGGATGGGTGGCATTTCAGAGAGAGAGCAAATTTGGTATGGCTTTCCTTACCAGAAACTAGGTTCCCACATGTTGGGAATGTTTGACTACTTTGGCAGAGTTTTGGGGGATCTAAAGTTGAGTCTGAAAAACAGTGTTGTAAGAGAAAAGCTGTCTAACTGTTAGTAAGCTCTGTTTGGGCAGCCCAGCTCTCCTTCCCTTTTCCCTCCTGCCTGCTGGCCTCAGCGCCCCCCCACCCCCCAGGTCGTCAAGTCTACACACGCGCCCCTGATCTGCCCTGATCCTGGCCTAAGAGTAATAAAAGCCGCCTCTTCAATTTGGTTTGGTTTTGTTTGGTTTTTTTTTTTGAGCTGGGGACCACGGAAGTAAGCTCTGTATGCACCCAAAGTTCCCCTTGGAAAAATGTTCAACATGCGGTGCTGCAAAATGCCACACCATTGCTT